TCTCTGTAAGGGTCGCCTGCAGTCTTTTCTGGAGTGTCTGGTCTCTGTAAGGGTCGCCTGCAGTCTTGTTCTGCTCTCCAGTGGTTTGGGGATGGCCATTCCTAACACACACCAGCCTTGATGAGTTTATTTGTAGCTTTTACTTCCATGAGACAAATAGTTACCTGACAAATCCAAGTCTGTACACTGATGTCCCTTTAGGGCAGTGGTCCTCAGGCTGCCTAATGTGAGACCCTTTAATACAGTTCCTTATTATTGTGGTGCACCCCTACCATAAAATTATTTCATTGCTACGTCATAACTGCAGTTTTGCTGCTGTTATGAATTGTAATGTAAATACCTGATTTGCAGGATATCTGATAGGTGACCCCCAAAGGGGTCACGACACACAGGTTGAGAACTTCTGCTTTAGAAGCTGCTGTCATAGTCTGCTTTGAAGAACTTAGAGTAGCCACCACTGATGTGGTTTTAGCTTTGGTTGACTTTCAGTAAGTGGCTTTATTTTTTCCGTGCTAGAGTTTTACAAATGTAATTTGGAAATTTGCATCTTAATTGGTTCCAGCTATTTCTTGACAGCCTGAGATTTAATTATCTTTATTTGATATCATAAAGCAATGTGATATAAAGAGAGTGACTGGTGATATGCTGTTTTGATCCAAACCATTCACATTAAGGTTGATACGCAGTCAGACGGGTGGGCAGAAATGGCTATTATTTGTGTGAAAACGATTATCCTGTAAAAACAAACCTCTTTGGTTCTCACAACTTTGCTGTTCAGACTGTCTTTACAAGATTCTTCTATAGCTGTGTTTGTCTGTCTGTTTCCACTTGGTGCTTCTTGCACAGGGGTTGAAAGGCATCAAGCTGCGAGAACCAGGTACTGGCCACATGTGTTGGTAGGAAAATGAAATCATTGCTTTGTCACTTATGTGTTTCCACATGACACAAACTGCTTTGCATACTACCAGGTAGTGGTAGATTCTCTTATTGGCATTAACCCATGAGTCAGATTATTTGTATTGGTTCATTCTCTTCACACACGTGCCCACCTTTATATTCTACTTACTCAGCCTTACTGGCCGTCTCTTGCAGGTTTTCGGAAGATCAGTTTGGATGACCTTCGGAAGGCATACATCGTGAAGGATGTACAACAGTACATCCTCCACCGCCTGGATCAAGAGGAGGCACTTCGGCAGCATCTCACCAAGGAGACGGCTGAGACTCTGAACCAGCTGCACATCAAGAGCAGTGGGTGTTTCCTGTATCTGGAGCGCGTGCTGGACGGAGTGGTAGAGAATTTCATCATGCTTCGGGAGATCCGAGACATCCCAGGAACTCTGAATGGTCTCTATCTCTGGCTCTGCCAGAGACTTTTTGTCCGAAAACAGTTTGCCAAAGTTCAGCCCATCCTGAACGTGATCCTTGCGGCCTGCCGGCCCCTGACCATGACAGAATTATACCATGCCGTGTGGACCAAAAATATGTCTCTAACCTTGGAAGACTTTCAGCGCAAGCTGGATGTCCTCTCCAAGCTCTTGGTGGATGGGTTGGGCAGCACCAAGATCCTCTTTCACCACAGCTTTGCCGAGTGGCTCTTGGACGTGAAGCACTGCACCCAGAAGTACCTGTGTAATGCTGCGGAAGGGCACAGGATGCTGGCCATGAGCTACACCTGCCAGGCCCGGAACCTGACCCCCCTGGAAGCACAAGAATTTGCCTTGCACTTGATTAATTCAAATCTGCAGTTGGAACCAGCCGAACTGGCACTGTGGATGATTTGGAATGGCACCCCAGTCAAAGACTCTCTGTCCACCTTAATACCCAAGGAGCAAGAGGTGCTGCAGCTGCTGATCCGAGCCGGTGCTCACGTCAACAGCGAGGACGATCGCACTTCCTGCATCGTCCGGCAAGCCCTCGAGAGAGAGGACTCCATTCGGACATTACTGGATAACGGGGCCTCTGTCAATCAGTGTGATTCCAATGGGAGAACTCTGCTGGCCAATGCCGCATACAGTGGCAGTCTGGATGTTGTGAATTTGCTTGTGTCCAGGGGAGCTGATTTAGAGATCGAAGACTCCCATGGACACACGCCACTCACTCTAGCTGCTAGACAAGGGCACACGAAGGTGGTCAACTGTTTGATTGGGTGTGGAGCCAATATTAATCATACCGATCAGGATGGTTGGACAGCGCTGAGGTCTGCTGCTTGGGGGGGCCACACTGAGGTTGTGTCTGCCTTGCTTTACGCTGGCGTAAAGGTGGACTGTGCAGATGCGGACAGCCGGACGGCTCTGCGTGCAGCAGCCTGGGGTGGCCATGAGGACATCGTCCTGAACCTGCTACAACATGGTGCTGAGGTCAACAAAGCTGACAATGAAGGGAGGACTGCCCTGATAGCTGCAGCATACATGGGTCACAGAGAGATTGTGGAGCACCTGCTGGACCACGGTGCAGAGGTGAACCACGAGGATGTGGACGGCAGAACAGCGCTCTCGGTGGCCGCACTGTGTGTGCCTGCGAGCAAAGGCCACGCGTCAGTCGTAAGCCTCTTGATTGATCGAGGGGCTGAGGTAGATCACTGTGACAAAGATGGCATGACCCCCCTGCTGGTGGCAGCCTATGAAGGCCATGTGGATGTGGTGGACCTGCTTCTAGAAGGAGGAGCAGATGTGGATCACACGGATAACAACGGGCGGACACCCCTGCTGGCTGCAGCTTCCATGGGGCATGCTTCGGTGGTCAACACACTTCTGTTCTGGGGTGCAGCCGTGGACAGCATCGACAGTGAAGGCCGGACAGTCCTCAGCATAGCTTCGGCACAGGGGAATGTGGAGGTGGTGCGCACTCTCCTGGACAGAGGCTTGGACGAGAGCCACCGAGATGATGCTGGCTGGACGCCTCTCCACATGGCAGCTTTTGAGGGTCACAGGTTAATATGTGAAGCTCTCATTGAACAAGGTGCTCGAACAAATGAGATTGACAATGACGGGCGCATCCCCTTCATTTTGGCCTCACAGGAGGGCCATTATGACTGTGTCCAGATCCTGCTGGAGAACAAATCCAACATAGACCAGAGAGGCTATGACGGGCGAAATGCGTTGCGTGTTGCTGCTCTGGAAGGACACCGGGACATCGTGGAGTTGCTCTTCAGCCATGGGGCTGATGTGAACTACAAAGATGCTGATGGGCGGCCCACGCTTTACATTCTGGCCTTAGAGAACCAGCTCACAATGGCCGAGTACTTTTTGGAAAACGGTGCAAATGTGGAGGCCAGCGATGCAGAGGGAAGGACAGCGCTGCACGTCTCCTGCTGGCAGGGTCACGTGGAGATGGTACGGGTGCTTATTGCCTGCCATGCTGATGTCAATGCCTCAGACAATGAGAAGCGCTCAGCCTTGCAGTCTGCTGCCTGGCAAGGCCATGTCAAAGTGGTCCAGCTTCTGATAGAGCATGGCGCCGTGGTGGACCACACGTGCAACCAAGGCGCCACAGCCCTCTGCATCGCGGCCCAGGAGGGACATGTAGATGTGGTGCAGGTGTTGCTGGAGCATGGCGCTGACCCCAATCACGCTGACCAGTTTGGACGTACCGCCATGCGAGTGGCAGCCAAAAACGGGCATTCTCAGATCATTAAGCTGTTAGAGAAATACGGTGCTTCCAGTCTGAATGGCTGCTCTCCTTCCCCTGTCCATACCATGGAGCAGAAGCCTCCGCAGTCGGCACCGTCCAAGATGCAGTCTCTGACCATCAGGTCCAACAGCTCTGGTGGCACTGGTGGAGGGGACTTGCAGCCTTCCCTCCGGGGCCTGCCCAACGGGCCAGCTCATGCCTTCAGCTCTCCATCAGAGTCTCCAGACTCCACTGTGGATCGGCAGAAGTCATCTCTGTCCAACAATTCCCTGAAAAGCTCAAAAAATTCATCTCTGAGAACAACTTCCTCCACAGCCACGGCTCAAACGGTGCCCATTGACAGTTTCCACAGCCTGTCGTTCACGGAGCAGATCCAACAGCACTCGCTGCCGCGCAGCAGGAGCAGGCAGTCAGTAGTATCCCCCTCTTCCACGACCCAGTCCTTAGGACACAGCCATAACTCTCCCAGCAGTGAGTTCGAGTGGAGCCAAGTAAAACCAAGTTTGAAGTCAACAACGTCAACTAAAGGAGGCAAATCCGAAAACTCCAGCAAGTCCGGGTCAGCGGGGAAGAAAGGCAAACAAAATAATTCCTCACAGCCAAAGGTTCTAGAATATGAAATGACTCAGTTTGACAAAAGAGGACCTGTCGCTAAGTCTGGCAGTAGCCCACCTAAACAGACGCCGGGGGAATCTCAGTGTAAAATTGTGGTCCCCTCGTCTCAGGATGGGAGCCGCGCCCAATCACAGTTTCTCATCCACCAGCAGAGCGGTGAGCAGAAGAAGAGGAATGGGATAATGACGAACCCCAATTACCATCTGCAGAGCAACCAGGTGTTTCTGGGCAGGGTCTCCGTCCCTCGAACAGTGCAGGAGCGAGGACATCAGGAGGTGCTGGAGGGGTTCCCTCCCTCAGAGACAGAGCTGAACCTCAAACAAGCCCTGAAGCTCCAGATTGAGGGCTCTGATCCCAGCTTCAACTACAAGAAGGAAACACCCTTGTGAGAGGTAAGATGCATTCTCCAAACTCGAGCACCTATCCAAAGCATGTATGGGACAAAGGATTGATAGATCCATATACAGATGCATAGATAGATGATAGGATAGCTAATAGGTAATAGATAGTAGATAAATGATAGGTAGATAGCTGATATGTAGACAGGTAATAGACATAGGTAGATGATAGATTGATAATGTGTAGATACATGGATGATGAGATATATAGTAGGTAATAGACATAGATAGGTAAGAGATATGTAGCTATGTAAATAATAAGATAATAGGTAATAGACAATGGGTGACAGATGATACACAGTTGATGATACATACATACATACATAGTTAATTTATTTATTCTTTTATCTCCCCTCTCTTCCTCCTCTCGAAATGTTAGACTGAAGGGATGTGTTTGTATTTGATTCTGAGTTCATGTGCTTGGAATACTGTTTGAATCTGTGGTAGTCTTTCAGTAAAAATGTATTAGATAAGTAGATGAACAGATGAATATATCATCTATCAATTCTAGATTAAGAGTTTTTTCCTATATTATCATTTCCCGCTACCAGGAGATTTCTGTTTCTGATAGAAAACAGGGCTGTTTTCTAAGTATTTATTATTTGGTTTTAAGCTCTGGGCTGTGCCTAGTGGGTAGTTGGCAAACGTTAATTTCATTGGTTTACCCAGAAACAGACCATGGATTTGTAATTGGTAATTAAGTTTTATTACAATAACTCTCATAGAAATCTAGTAGTGTTGGCAGGTAACATGAACAGGTGTGGACCATGGTGAAGGGTATGGATTATCATTTACTTATTTACATGTTTAGGGGCAAGATATAGAAACCATATATTATGTTCAGATCACTAGTATTTTTTTATTAAATAAGAATCTTTTTATTCTCCATCTCAAAGAATGTTTCACTGCATAGGTAAAAATGGGTAGACAAGTAGCAGGAGCTCATTTGTACACCTTGGGTGCTCCTCAGAGGCACCTTTCCATGTTATAAATCAACTGAAGATTTCATTAAGCATCTTTTCTAATGTCCAGTGACTTTGCAGAAGACCTGACTTCTGGTGATGGTCACATTCAGGCAAGCTGGCATACAGTTTAGGAATTTGACAAATTCACCATCATTACAAATATCTTCTAGCACTAAACATCCTAATGTGAGAACAGATGGATGGCCAATCCAAGGCCATTCAGAAATGTGCCTCCAAATACTTGATTCTGATGGTACAACACCCGCTCCCCGCACACGCAGGCAAACTCATATCTCTTATTATGTCTGTGTCAATTAGTAAAAATATGATAGAAGGTAAGTATTTGGTAGAATTATTTTCTTTTATAAGATCTTAAAACTGTCACTACAAGAAAAGAATAGATTTTTTGTTGTTGTTGTTCCAGTTTCCCCTTCTGTGAAACAGAAGACATTGTGGTCAGAATGGCCATTCAGCTGCCAGATGGAAGCAAGACACCTGAGGATGTGCTGGCCAGACTGTGACTCCCTCAGTACTGTTTCCTGACTTACTGTCATGTGCCTACCCAACAAGGCTGCCCTTCTCAGCGTAACCCCCATGCTGAAGCAGTCTCCACCACACCGAAGAAATGGAGATGTGAACTGCAGTTCGATACAACCAAACCCGGTTTTGAGTATTTTCCCATTTGGTAAATGTGCATGTGCCATAGTCAGGTGTCTCCGCAAAGGCAGTGTTCCGTATTTATTGTTTTCTGCGTTGTGGCGTGTACTCAGTCCCATCGCATTGTCTGGTGTGCCTGGTTCTTGTGTATTTAAAAATGTTACTCAATAAAACAATTCTTGCAACTGTTTTCTGTCTGCTAACCTTCAGCATTGGATAAAAATGAGTTTCTGTGTTGATGCCACATGGAGGTGAAAAAAAGACTTTGTGATGAGTTTTCCACAGGCATCAGTTCTGGTGGTGTAGAGGGTCACTCTGGTACCGTCTGGATAGGGCAGAATGACAGAGCAGGCCAATGCTGGCCACTCTGACTACAGGCACAAGAGGCTCTGAGCTGTCTTCTAGATGCCTGTCATTCCACCTGCAAGTAGACAGACCATCATTCCTGAAGCTTGGATGTTCTCAGGGACAGAGCAGTTAGTGCCTGGGGGCACATGTGCAGACAGAGGCTCCAGGTCCAGCTAAGGATGACTCTGATCCCTGAATCCTTCACTGGCAGCCCTCACCTCCTTCAGCTAAATGAAATGTAATCCCTCATTGTAATTGAATGCTCACTGCTCTGAGCTATTTCCCCATGCCAGTTACTGCATAACTAAATTAGCCCCTGTCAGAACCATTTGGGTACATTTGAATAACTTAGTGGAATGGATGTTCTTGAATGTACAATGTGCTGTCCATCACAAGTGACACCACTAACCATTAGTTGGAGCACATATGTTTTGTTATTTGATAGAACTGATGGGCTTGCACTTTTCTGGCCACTTTCTCTTTCCTTTTTTCATCTTTGCACGATTGTACATAGGATGGCTGGAAGCCATAGGTAAGGGAGGCATTGGCACCAGGAACATGAAGCAGCTTAAATGGACTGTGCAACTGATGGGCCGGATGATTTAGAAGGCAAGGATGGTATGATCCTTGAGTACTGTACTCCTGTTCATCTTCCAGGCCTTGGAGATTCTGTGTTCTCATGCTGTTGCTAAGGGGGACTGGGGAAAGAGAATTTGGAAATTGAGCACAAAACCATTGCTACTACTGAAAACTTTGGAATGTTTTAACGAGAGGCCAGGAATGGTCATCCTATGTGAAGGGCACTCTTAGTGTTGTTCATGGAAGCTCAGATGTGTAACTGCTTGTGATGAGTGTTTCTCACTTCAGTCTTTGTGTAAGCCTTTCCTTGCTTTGTTTTTCAATGTCAGCCTAACTCACTTCCTGTGTGTCATCTGTCAGTCATAACCAGGCTGAGAGATAGCTGATGGAGTCACTCAAAGTTAAGGTGATGGCATGGTTGATACTGACAAGTCAAATGTGAATGTTTCAAGGATTGAATTCTTGTCCCTATGGGACGTTGACTAATGACACTTAACAGGACTCTTGCAAGGCAGCCTTAAGTGTGCGTCTGAATCTGTTGAGTATGATCACACCCTGTTACTAGAATCAGTGTGACTCCATCTCACACACACTACGTTTACCATAGAAGAGGAGCCTCAGACTTCTCACTAGGTGTATCTTTTTTTTTTCTTTTTAAGGAAGAGAACCCTGAAAGCTGCCAGTTTTTCTATTAACCTTGAATTATTGAAATCATATTTATTTAATTTTATTACTTTTACAGAATTGCACCTTGTGACCAAAGGGCAAAGACAGCTCATGGCAGTAGGGATCTGTATTTTTCAAGGGCTTTTGTGTCCATCTTTAGACATACAGGACAGTTGGTAGGAGGAGAGCCCGTTGGAAAAATAGGGTGCTCATAAGTATTCCTCAAGGTGTTTTGTTTTTGTTTTGTTTTTAATAAATTATGATTTATAAAAGAACAAAAATGACTTCTGGTGAGGGTCAGGCTGATCAAGGGCTGCAAGGCAGCCACCCCACTGTGCTTATTCATTTTGGAGTGTGGGAGGGGGCTAGTACCACAACTGGGCAAAAAAGGATGGCTTCTGCTCTGTTACAAAGATAAGAAACAGTCCCACAAATAAATAATAAATAGCTATTTTTTGAAATTCAGATATTTAAATTTTGTAAATCAGCTGTTTGGGATGTCACTTGTTTATAACATTTTTGTAACGTTCCTTCACACCCCTTCCTGAAGGTCAGTGTCACTGGATGACAGGTGGTAAAATGTCAGACAGGTAGACATCTGGAGGGGGTCCAGGAAAGTTTAGGGGGAAGAGGACCAGAAGCAGCGCCCTGCGGTGTACAGCGAATACCTTTGTTCCTTTCTCTCCGGCCCCTACCAGATTCCTCAACCAAAACCTACTGCAGAGACAGGAACGAGTCATTGTACTGTTTGGCTGTGCAACTGTTAGTTTTGCGGACCGCCCTCCGTCCCTCCGTCCGTCCGTCAACACTTTCCTCAAATATAGCGGCAGACAAATGCTTTCTTTCCATTGTTCGCTCTGTGTGGGGTGTGTAAATAACCTGAAAATGTACATTGAACTTCACAGTGTAAAGTTTTATTTTATTCCTTGTATTATATTATGCGAAAACATCCGATGTACATGAAGTGCATAATAAATCTATTTGCTTTACAGTAGATGCCTTGTTTCAATTTTGTACTCTAAGTAGCAGCATGTGCCTGATATGCCTACAGTAAGAACTTGTTTTAAGTTTATAATTTTAAAAAAATGGGCGATGAGCTATAACACTGGCTGAAGGAAGCTAGGAGAACAAGATGTGGCCTTTATCTCTCCCACAACTTTGATAAGTGTTCACTTTTCTGTTTCTCTTCCCTGTCAATTTTTTACTGTGACCAGATAAGCCATGTACATGCCTGATTCTTGGTTTTACTAGTCTTACCCTGGATAGTTATTTAATTTTCTGGGGAAATGGATCATTTTCTAAATAAAAGTTGTGTGCTCCTCCTTTGGTAAGCAGGAGTCCCTTCTCTGGACACTGTTTTCCCCCAGAAAAAGCCAGCACTGACCAGGACAGCAAGCCCATGTGTTTACATATGTTCAGTTCCTTCCAGGGGAGGTTCCTAAGAAGGCCAACAATTCTTTTTCCTTAATGACTTTATGGCTTAATGTAGTTCCTTAGAACTCATCGTTTCCTGCAATCATTCACTTACTCATATTTTTATGCATTTGATGGGTTAATAAAAAAAAAACAACACATTCTAAGCAATTTTAATGTAGGAGATGTTTGAGCAGAAATAAGTGATACTACCACGATTTTAAAAACACATCTTGCCCACATCCAGCTGATGGACGAAAGAGACAGGGCAGGGACTCTGCAGGGCCTGGTCAGCATTTGGAAAGATGCCAGCTGGTAGTGAGATGCCTGCAGGAATCACGCTGCCTTTCTGGGAACTTTTCATCATGCAACATATGTACTAATGTTACTGTGAGGACAGGACATCTGCCTGCCAGACTCTCCATTACAGAATAAATAAAACAACCCAGTATTAAAATAAGACGATTGGAAATTTGTACCATGTTTTCCATGTTTTTCAAGATTTTTTTCTTATATGTGGGGGTTTGTGTGTATTAGCCTGTGTCAGTACAGCTGGGTTTGCATGTGTGTTTGTCTGTAGGGTCTGGTGTGTCTATGGGTCTGGTGTGCCCAGGGTTGACGTCCAGAGTCTGGATTGCTCTTCACCTTAGTCTGAGTCAGGATCTCCTGAACTGAACCCACAGCTCACCAGTGCTAGCCAGCTTGCCCCAGGGGATCCCATCTCTGCCTCCTGAGTGCTGGAATTACAGATGGGCAGGCAGCAGCGCCCACCCGGCATCTATGTGGCTCCTGGGGATTGGAACTGGCCTTCACGCTTGAGCAGCACGTGCCGTGGCTCCTCAGTGCTGTTTGTCCTTTTGTGAATTACAGTAGCCCTCTGTTGACCGAATGTACCATCCTTTAAACCCACTTCACACTGGATACTCATTCTGTGTGGAGCCTCGTAAGATGCTGCCACTGACATGGATTTTTGCCTATATCATGGATGTATGCATTTGTTTTCAATAAGACAGTGTGTTTACTAGCTGCTTTCAATCTTCCGAAGTGGTTTTATCCATTTCCACTCCATCAACTCTATGCAGGAATCTCACTGACCATCTTTGCCAACAATTAATTTCCACCACCACCCCACCGCCTCGTTTGGCCATGTATTAATAGTGCATTGATATTTGAATTTGTATCTGTCAGGTAACTAATGATATTAGGCATTGCATAAGGGCATATTAGGATATCCTATATTCTAACTTGGAGAGAACTCACCCATGATCCTCCTTGGGCTTCTTGGTTTGCAGGCTCCTCTGCCATTCTCAATAAGTCCTTTGGGAGATACATGCAAATATATGTGGAAGTATCTTCTCAGACTCTGCCCTCTTGCTCTAATTGGCATATGTTAACAAAAAGAGATCCTTATTTGTTCTTCTCATCCCAAGGTCCTGAGGGCATTGTCCTCTATTTTCTTCTAATATCTTAGTTGCTTTGAATCGGTGATGTAATCAGCATCTCCTCTTAGAGTAACCAATTTCCTCACTGTGTTTTAATGTGTAGCTTTTAACCAGCATCACCCGTTGGCAGTTACCACCCTCAGTAGCTTCTTACATTTTCATAGAATGTTGAGAGTCCTCACATCTTCTCCCGGAAGCTTGCCTTAGTTTCTGGTGGTGTAGCACATCCTCTGAGATCTCTAGAGAGGCTTAGGCCTTGATTGTTAAAAAGCCTGGCTTAGGGCTGGCAAGATGGTTGGCAGAATATAGGTGCTTATACCAAGCCTGAGGTCAACCTCTGGAACCCACGGGGTAGAAAGAGGAAAGGCTCCCACAGTGGCTGTGACCATATATATGAATTGTGCGGACACTGCACACATAAATAAAATGTATAGAAATTCTGGTTTTATTTCAGATATTGACTCCACAGGTAAGTTTTCATTAACTGAATTGTTTATATATTTTAGTCTCTTCATTTCCTTCATTATTTATCTTTACTTGATGATATGTCTTAGTTTTCTACACAAAGCTATGGACAATGATTAGCAGGGCTCTCCAGTGCTTTGTTGGTTACTGATACTGTTATAAATGCCATCTTAAACTTCATTTTCCCCTGTTAACATACAGAAATAGTTTCCTTTGGCACAAGTCTTGTTAAATGTATTTTAAAGCAAGATCTACTAGTATTCACTTATGTATAGTTGAATACATTTTGATTTTGTTTTTCTTTTAGATGGGCTTATGTAGCCCAATCTAGCCTTGAACTTACTTTGTAGCAGAGAATGACCTAGATCCTCCTGCCTCAGCCTCCCAAATGTTGGGATTCTAGGTATAGGCCACCATGCCCAGCAAGTCTGAGGTGCTTTGATGAATCTGATAAAGTCCCTAGCATACCTGAGTTGGAGAATATTTTCTGAGCCTCTCAAGGGTCATTGCTTACTCCCAATCAGTTTCCTCCTCTTACCCCATCACTAAGAACCACTAATTAGATTTCTTAATAGTTTTGCCTTTCTAGGCTTGTCATGGGTGAAATAATAATACAAATACCTGGCTCTTTATATTTTGTTTGGTTTGGATTGATTTGGTTTTGAGGCAGTCTTGTTATGTATCCCAGGATAGACTGGTTCACTGTGTAACCCAGACTGGCCTCAAGCTAGTAATCATCTTGCCTCAGCCTGATGACTAAGATTCATTGTGTAGCACTCAGGGGTCATATATGAAATTCTCAAAGAATTTTCTCAGTATCTTATCTTTGGGCTCCCAGCAAAAGAAGAGTTTACATTTTGCTGGGAGTGTGCTCTGGGGTGAGTATGCATTTAGCATATGCCCTGGGTTCTATACTCAGCACCCCAAATCAAATACAAAAAAAGACAGATGTGCTGACAGCTAAAACTTTAGACTGTTTGTTAGGTACCCATGCTGCAGCCCCAAAATATGTGCAGCAGAGCTGTGTGCCATTACCAGCATGGTACCTGCTTATGCTTCTCTGCAGACCCAGATTAATGCAGCCCAGTCTTTTCCAATGCAATTTGCTAATGTCTTAAGAAAGTAATATTCTTGTGAAAAGAAAGACTATGTTAAGTTAATCATGTGATTTTCCACATTTGATGGTGCTTTAATACTTTGGCTACAGTGTTTCATAAGGAGACCTGTAGGGCTTACCAGCCAAACCTCATTCAGGAACTCTGAGACAGTGAGAAACCCTGTCTCAAAACACAGGAAGAGCATCTGAGGAATGACACCCTGGGTTGTTCTCTGGCTCACACACACACACACACACACACACACACACACACACACACACACACACATCTGTGCACATGCACCCACACACATGTATATCAGCACACACATGAACACATAATATAAGCACATACACACATGCATACCCCTACTACCATATTTCAGTAATTTAAGCACTCATTCAGGCACACACACAAACTTTAACAAAATTTTACCATTCTCATTATTTCTCATAAAGTTGAAAGCTTTTTATGTGTGTCTTCTAAGGACAAAGACTGTCTATCCAAAACTGAGACTGTCAACTTTCCCGTGCAGCCAACCAGTGGTCACATTGATGCTTGTGAACAGGCAAAGTTGTTCATTGTACTGAATTAGTGTAAAAGAACCTATTTGGGTGGCTGATGCTCAGAAGAGCCAAGGAAACTCAAAAAGGAGCTGTTCTACTTTTTTCTCAGAGAACCAAATACCCAGTCTGGTTGGGTCAACCAGTTACCTCTGTGCAGTTCATTCTAGCAAATGCTTGAGCTTTGAACCCACAATTTACCTTCCCTGGACTTTGTTTCCATATTGTGTTAGTAGGCCTAAAAATAGGTATTTGTTACTCTGTGACTACTAATTGCGACACAGCTGGCTTCTCTTTTGAAGGATCATACTAATGCATGATAACATATTAAGGGTCTATTGAGATTATTTCAGGAAACAAGATCAGACATTAACTTAATGAAAGGGGCTGTAGGAGCTCTCATTTCTAAGGCAATGTCAAAGTTAAGGGCCCTTCTCAGACTTACTCACCTTTCCAGTTATTTCTTCCAACTCATTCCCTCTCACCAACCCCCACAGGATTAGCAGGCCCCATCCTGCCCCTCCCCTTTCTAAAATTATTTCCTCCTCTTTCGCTGTATCTCCACCTTCAGCAACCTTAGTCTGCCCCTCCCAGCCAGGGGCCTTTTCTTCTTTTTAATGCTGCTGCAGTGTCTTTTGTCTTTGCTGGTTCTGAGTTATCTGGAGTAGACTCTCCTCGCTGACACTGGCATCTGCTCTTAGATAGAAATCGAGCCTTCCTTATCCCAGTGTGTCTGCATTATCTCCACGGAGAAAGTGTCCAATTCCTTTCTGTAGTGTTTTCTTTTCATTCAGAAACAGCTGTGTGCTGTGAGACACATTTAAATCCTGCTATTTCAGGCCACCTGTCAGAACATATTCTTGGCTCAGCCATGCTCAAACAGGAAGCCAAGTCATAGCACAAACGAGTATATGTTTTCTATCCCTGCCTTCCCATCTGCCCTACTCCGTGTGTGCTGCATGAAGCAAGGTAGCACACTAGTTACTCATCACTTACTCATCTAAACGGCCGGGC